GGAAAATCTAGGGAGAGGGGAGGAAAATAATAAGAAAAACAATGGAAGCAGTCTTCAAAGGTTACTTATCATGTCACATAATCTTATACAATGAAAAATAACAACTCTACATGAAGCTTTATAGTTGATAGTTTTTAACCTGAAAGTGTGCCACAACTTTGTAAGGTGGGGAATTGAAGCATGGAGAGACTAGGTACCCTATGCAGAGTCACGCAGGAAATTGATGTGAGGTTACTGAGCCCTAAAAAAACTTCCTATATATTGGAAAAACATTTCTGTGCTGCTTCCAAGAACACCCCTGGTTTTGGGACAGGCATCTGTAGTTGACGTGACCAAACCCGATGTTTGCATTCATGGGTTTGTAATGCAGCCCATAGCTTGGAAAGCACTAATGTGCTTTCCTGGTGAAAGGAAGAAGTATAAAATCAGTTGAATTATGCATTCAGGAAACACTGAAAACAGTCTTTTTGTTTTCTGCACCAATTTCTCTGTCTGTGGGAGTGGTGTTAAATAAAGCAGTAGCAGAATCCTGAGTGCACAAAGATTCCATGTTCTTACATGCTTCCTCCTGCTGTCTGGCAGTGTGAACGCGGGGCTTGGAGACCTTTCTTGTTGCAGATGTCTTCTCAATCTCTTTCTCCTCTTAGTGTGTACCCAGACATGCTCTTCATGCTGTTGTGGAAGTCATATTCTGGTTTTACGAATCTTGGAGGCATTGTATGTACTTGTTACTTGCTTCTTTTTGATGACAGTCTGGTTGGGTAGCTGGTGCTTCTTGGGATTAGGACATCTGCAAATCATGAAGGCCGAGACATACAATTTTGTGTGCCTTTTCTCTCTTTTGCTTTGATCTAAGTGGTATCAGAAGGGGTAAGCACAGAAAGGGAAAAATGAAGTGCTCCTCAGTCTCCAAAATGTATTGATGTAAAATGTAAATTTTAAATTTACATCTGTAAATGTAAATTAATACATTCTACTGGCAATATTTTATCTGAGAATCCCAAAGCACTTTGACAAGCTGCAAATGCTGCCTTGCAAACACTTGCAAAGTAGGGAAATATTATTCTACCTCCCCTGCCTCTCTCTTTTTTTTTTTTTTCTTTTTTTTTTTTAACTAATAGGGAAACTGGAGGAATAGGTCAAAGCTTTGGATGACTACGAGAGGTGACTGCTTAACAAGCTGAGGATAATTCCTTTATCTGTTTCTTGGTTGTCGTCTGCCTGAGGAGCAAGACTTCTTTCCTTCCCTGTTTAATTGTGTGGAGGTCCATTGCAGCATGAGAAACTTAAGGGTGTAATGCTGTTTGTTCTTTTGTAGCTGTGGTAGTTAAAATAGCGATCTTCAACATTTTATTAGAGAAAGGTTGTCATTTTCACAAAGTATTGTTTAGCAGTCATTAGGCTGTCCTTAGAAGTGGGTCTTTACAGCATCCTGGAGAGTTGTGATGGGAGCTCGCCTCTGTTGTTGGGACAGGGAATCCAGACACCTGAATTAGATGCCTAGAGGTAGATGGCATAAATGTTCCATACAAAGGATTAAAAATTGTTCTTTCTGAGGCATTATTTCGTAATTGTTCTGTTGCACTGCTATGGTTTGTAGAATAACGGGAAACATTCACTGTTAAGTTTATAGTTACTTTTAACAACTAAAATGTTATCACTGTGCTGTGGGTCAAATGCTAGTCTGTCATGTAGTGAGGGGATTCCAGCGTTCTGCATGGCTCAGGGTTATCTTCAGGTTGGGGTTTTTTTGGGGCAGGGGCTCCAGTCCATGATGACTGGCTTCCAGTGCCTTCTTTCTGCACATTCTTTGTCACCTTGATCGCTTGAGACTGACCTGCAGAATACAGCCCAGAAATCTGCGCTTCGTGATCCCTGTTCTATGGAAACTGACTGCTCTAGTGCAGTTGAAACCCATTTAAAAGACTTCAATTCTTGATGTAAGAACTGGAAATGATCGTTTACTCCACCATCAGTATTGTCACCACCTTATTTGCATCTTTCACTTCAGCTTCATTAGTTGCCTAGTGATTCATCCAGTTATTCATCTAATTATCTTGTTAATAGCTGTAGTAGGCTTTGGTGATACCAAAAAAAGTTTAATTAACATATCATCAACAATTAAGAGCTTTTTGCTTCTCATATGATGAAGATATTAGCTGCCTAAGTTTTGTTGTTACTGCCCCTGTGAACCTTGACCGTAGCTTTGGAGTAGCACACTGCCTGGTGCTTGTTGCAGCTACATTCATTGTACTGTTCCAAAATCCTGAAGTGAAGTTATTAACGACAACTACAGTGTGATGTGGTGATCAGCTCTCGCCTGTGCATCCCTTTCACTTGTGTTTGATAAGGGTTGTAGAGAGGACAGTGGAGTCAGGCCATCGCCCTCCCTTCTGCACGATACTTTGGACGCGCACACCAATGCGTGCAGTCTTGTTCTCAACTAACTGTTTACAACCAGACACATCAGGGCTTCCCAGCGTGCTACTCAAAAAACTCAAAACTCTTTTTGTGTGCTTTACGTGGATTTCAAATGCCTTTACTGCCTTTTCAGAGGGTGAACCAACATACAGAAGGGAAGCAACATGCCTGATGTTGAGCTGTAACACCTGGAGTGGAATCTTACTTTTTTTCCTTCAGTCTTTCACGCTGTCTGTTGAGCAACGCTGCTCATAACAGTGTGAGTCTGTGAGGACTGTTTGTTTTGCAGCATCTTGGTAATGTTTGCACATGGAGTTTGCTAGTGAATCATTGGCAAAAGTTCTTTTGCAGCAGGTTACTATAGCGACGTCCTGCAACAAAATGTTGAGTAGCGTGAATGTACCCTCTTTAAACTTTCCCTTTGTTAAATGTGTCTGCAGATCTCCTGCCATCTGCGGTGTCAGAACTTCGTGCCGTTCTGATAAACACCCCGAAGCACTTTAATCCTTGTGAGAGCCAGGGAAATTAATAAGCAAAAGGAGAAGAAAACCTAATGAGGCTTGTTAATCTGAACACCTTTATTTTTTTCTCTTTTCTGCTGCTTTTGGGCTGTATACGGGCTGCTCAGTGTACTGAAGGAACAAACTATTTACAGTATTTCTGTGCCATGTAGCCTCCTAAGCTTTCTCTTTTGCAGAAAGTCCCTGAACTTTACAGTGAGGAGCACCACCAGAATGCTACCTGAAGTTTTCTGAGACCGGGCAAATACTCTCTTTCTTCCTTATGCAGCGTGTGTGTGGTGCTTGCAGGTCATTCCCAGCCAAATCTGTTATCCCTATAGAAGTGGAGCATTGCTGAGCTCTGCATCTCAGTGCCTGAACAGACATTTTCAGACGGAGGAGAAGGATGACCTTCTAGCTTCCAGGGCAGCATAAACTTTCCAGTGGCATTTGGGTTTGTTCTGGAGCTAGGAGGGACAGTTGTCTTCAGAATTCAGTCACTTGGCACTCCTTTGCTTTCAGGGGTCAGAAACCTAACGTTGATGCCCCATCAGAAAGAAATAAATTTGACCATATTCCCGCAATGAAAAGTAATAAGGATTCTGGGTCACTGAAATCTCTGTGACTTCTATGTCAGTGTGCAACTGATGTGTAAGAAAATGTGTTTTCAGAGAGACATTTTAAGAGATTTCTGCTTGAATAAGGGGATTCCAAACCACAGGAATGGAAATAAATTGGAAATAAAAGGAGTATGCCCACTCCCTTTGGCCTTTGGGTAAGAGAATATGAGGGAACTTTAATTGGGTTTATGTTCAGAAGTTGGCACCAAAGGCTGCCTGGGAGTCCTTGCATGTTTACAAGCTCCTTGTGTATTCTTATCTGTAACTTCTTGTGTGATTTCTTCCATCTTCCTCCATTCCCCAGAAGTCCTGTCCCTGCAGTATCGATCCTCTGTCCTCCTTGTTCCCTCCCGTGCCAAGGATTTTTTGAATGCCTCCTTTTCCCCCTCAGACACCTCTTCCTCTGGAGAGGTTTTGTACTATCCATCCTGCTCTCTGTGCCAAGGTTTTGTTTGCCCTTCCATTCTCAGCTCCTGCCAGTAACTTTTTTTTCCTGAGTCAACATTTTTAAGAGAGTATAGGGATGACCTGAGGTGATTCAGCTGTTTTTATATGAGAATGTGTTAGTGACAGCCATCAATGTGTTTCTTGCTCTATGGATGTTAGGCTTTCTGACTTTTACCATTTAGTAGAAACCTAAGTGCTTTCTATTAGAAGCACAGACCATAGTTTAAGACTTGTCAGAAGGCTCATATTAATGAAAATCATAGAATGGCTTGGGTTGGAAGGGACCTTAAGGATCACATAAAAAATTTTTTTCCTAATACTTAACCTAAATCTCCCCTCTTTCAGCTTAAAACCGTTCCCCCTCGTCCTATCACTCCACCCCCTGATCAAGGGCCCCCCCATCTCTCCTGTAGCCCCCTTTCAGCACTCTGCAGGAAATCTCTGCGTCCAAAGATTTTGTTTGATGTGTTGGGTGTGCTTGTGTGAATTGTGGCTACATGATGCAAACCTTTGCAGTAAGACAGTGTGGAAATAGGTGTGACTGAAGTCTAGGGTTGTATTTCCCTGAGTAAGGCAGGGGCTGCCCTGTCTCTGCCTCCTTCTCCTGCTCTGTCCCCCAGCCGTCTTTTTGGAGATTGAAGTAAAATATCCCTCACATTGAGGACTGAGAGAGTTCTGTACGTGAGGTATTTTTGTCACCTAGGTTAGAATGTCTGGGATAGTGAGTAAGATACCTCCCTGGCCTCACTGGTTTATTGTTTTTAAATGGTTTTGGACTCTTGAAAATGGCATCTAACTATTATTACAGTGATTTTTATTATTGGTGTTATTTAAATATTATCAGAGACAGTGTTCATGGAAGTCATGTTGCTGGTAAGTACAGCTTGTTCTGGAAGCCACACAATGGACAGAATTTAAATCTTCAAATGTTTTGGGCCATACTTTTGAAAGTCAAGTAGGAAATTGCGTGCCTCAATTAATGTTTGTCCTCCTTTTTGCTTTGTGTTTTAAGTAACAAGCCAAACCCCAACCAGATCAATGTAAATAATGTCAAACCAGGAGTGGTAAATGGTACAGGAGTACAGGCACAGAACGCGGGAGCAGGACGGGCCTGTGAAAGCTGTTATAGTAAGTGACGTGCCAGCATGGCAGTTGTGCGTAGCGAGCGTGAATGCTGTGTTGCAGACGGTGAAATAAAAGCTGTGTTGTGGTGAGGGGTGGGAGAGGGGGCTTTGGAAGGGTGGGGGGACAGAATTTGACATCGCAGCATTTAAGCAAAGGGGGTTTTTTTTGGTTATTGGTGTTACATTTGTAAATAAAATTATGATGTATTAAAGGCGGAGTTAGTAAATGTCCTGCGTGATTGCAGGTAGCTGTTCAGCAAAGACTTATGTCACTAAGGGGTGAACTTGACTATTCTTTCATAATTTGTTATTAGATTTCAAAATATGTGATATCATTGTATTTGGTCTGTTGCCTGATATTAATATACTGAGTTCTAATGATGGTGCTCCTTTATGGGGAGCCTTTAGAGATGCTGGAAGATAGGACTATACGAGAAGTCAAATTACAGATTTCTTATGTTCTTTAGTTGTAAAATTAATGGATGGGGAGTTCCTCTCTTTCCCATGCTCTGCAGAAGTTGTTGTTTACCAGTCTTGCAAAATGAGAGCATTCAGTTTCATTGGCAGGAGATTTTCCCATCCTACTAGTTGTTCTTTTCTGTTCATGTTTTAAAAGGGGTTTATACGTGTAATAAATTCTGCTGAAATCACAAGTATGATTAACAGTGGTGATGACAGTGAAGCCATAGTCAGGCTTTTAGGGTTGGTTTGAGCTTTGCACTGGCTTTGTGGGGGTTTTCTTCTGTGATTGTTTTCTTTTGTGATGGTTCTAAAGAGAATAAGCTCTGAAAAGTGATCCTGTTTAAGGTTATATATAATTTCCACCTTTGTTATCTCTAGCCACACAGTCTTACCAGTGGTATTCTTGGGGTCCCCCTAACATGCAGTGTCGCCTCTGTGCATCCTGTTGGACCTACTGGAAGAAATACGGTGGCTTGAAAATGCCAACACGGTTAGATGGGGAGAGACCAGGACCAAACCGCAATAATTTGGTAGGTATCTGCAAAGCAGACTGCTCAGTGCTCTGGCCTGGAAAGCTAGGTGCCATGATATCTAACTAATTGTTCACAGTTCTTAAGTATTTAACAACAAAAAGATTGCCTTCAGCCTCCATTGTTGTCCTTGGGTTTGGTATTTCACGTCTTGCAGAAGTTGGCGCGTTTACTTCAGCTATAAGTAATTTGTTGCCAAGTACTGCCCTGGGGAAAAAAAACATCATTTGTTTAGCAAACTAGCCATCAAATGCATGGGATAACTTAATGAAGATGGAAAAAACTGAAATGCCAGCCAGTATTTCTGGTATTTGGTTTCCATGATTTGTGCTGTAGGGGGAAGAGGACTTTTTTTTTTTTTTCCATAAAGGGATTCATTATTTCCTGAAACCTGTTCCCTTTCCCAAGGCACATTCAGCGTTAGATACCACGAATAGCTAGTGGCTCTCTAGAGATCCCTTATCTTGTTTTTCTACTTCATTGTATTTTTAATTAATCCTCCTTCCTTTTGGATAGGTTTGCGTAAGCATTGTATGAGCTGCTTCTGTTTAATTTCTCCCCTTTTATTTAAAAACCAAAATGATCTGAATTTTTCTGAATTTGTTGGAAGTTCAGTCTGGAAGCATCATACACTGAGCTGATTGGAAAAAGTAGCTGCATCACATGGACAGAAGGATAGTGCACGCTGAAGTTTGGTCTTAGATTAATTTCTTTCCTCTCTCCTAGTCTTTGCTGTCATTCCCTTTCTCTTTCTTTAGTTTAACCTCTGTCCTTTCCAGGCTTCTGTTTGTCCTCTGAAGCTACCTAATTGCTGAGATAACTGCCAGGTTTTATCAGTCTTGTAACTCTTGTTTGTTAGTTAAAAAGTATGTAAATAGTCAGAGAGGGGAAAGCCTGTTCTCCACAAACTGAAATTTCCTCCTATTTTCCAACCGTGGGCAGGTTTGAGATAACCTGATACTAGTTTCCTTATTTTTTTGGTTGACTTAGTTGCTTCTCATGAAGTAGATACTTCTTTCACTCTCTGCAGTATGTCTTTCAGTATTCTTCTTTATTATATGCAGAGAATATTGGACAACTCTGTAAATGCGTTCCTTGTGTTCAGAGTAAGAATTAAAACAAATTCGTGCAACTTGAGACAAAAACATTCTTGCATGCTGTAAGATTGCTTTGGAAAGTGGGCTTGTGATGTATATTTTAGCCTAACAGCTGCTTTCTGATTTTCCTCTTGTTCTTCCAAATGCTTTCTTATAAGGAGTTTGCATTGTATATCCAGAGCAACTTAAGCACCCGAAGTTTGAGAGTCTGTCTGTTGGTTCTGTGAACAGTAAATCATGTGATAGCATCAGGTTACTTCTTTAGGTCTGGCTTTTGGATCCCTACTTTAAAACTTGGGACAGCACAGAAATAAATACTTCCCTGTGAAGAGAAAATGTTTACCTTTGTTTTATCCATTGAGATATTTTGGAAGAAAATTCCAAACGTTGATGGGTAAGATTTGGGAAATTGGGAATAGCTGGGCTGAAAATATATTTTCATCTGTAATACTGTCTCTGTTCTAATGTCTGTGAATCTGTAGTTGAAAGTGATGTTATGTGATATTCTTTCTCTTCTTTAAAACCATACTTCTAATAATTACTTTTTAGAAATCATATTTATTTTTCTTTCTTTCTAGAGTCCTCATGGTGTGCCAGTACGAAACAGTGGGAGTCCCAAGTTTGCTATGAAGACCCGACAAGCTTTCTATCTCCATACAACAAAACTGACAAGAATTGCCAGACGTTTATGTCGAGATATCTTGCGCCCTTGGCATGCGGCAAGACATCCCTATCTGCCTATTAACAGCGCAGCAATCAAAGCAGAATGTGAGTGGTGATGCAGCTGGGACCTCCTTGCAAAGGAGCTTTTTGAGATTCCTTTCCTATAAAGTCTGAGTTGCAACTTCTTGAGATGCCCTCTTGTAGCTAGTGTTCTCACAAAATCTAGCTATACTTTTTGTTTTAAAATATTCATGTTTGCTGTTACATCTACCATTCTGCAATTGTGGCCCGTTGACAAGACATGCTCGCAACCTGTAAAATTGCTTTTGATTGGAAAGCTCTTTCAGGACACTTGTTCTTCGTGTGGTTTTACTATAATGTCTAAGTGTCTTTACCCTCTAATTATTTTTCTTTGTTTTACAGGCACAGCACGTTTACCTGAGGCATCAGAAAACCCATTGCTGTTAAAGCAAGTGGTTCGAAAGCCTTTAGAAGCAGTACTCCGGTATTTAGGTATTAAAAAAAAAAACACCAAAAAAAAAAACCCAAACAAAAACAAAAAAACACCAAGCACAAAAAAATCCCACTCAAAAAAAAAAAAACCAAACCCCTAGCAGCTAATTCTGCTAACCATTTCTTTTTCCATTTGGTTTTGGATTTAGGTGCTGCTTCTGGATTAAAAAACAAAACATGAAAACCTTCCTATGAACTTGTCCTTTCTCCTTTTCCTACCTAATTTGGCAGATGCAGTGGTTCAGTTGTCCACTGTGGGCTCACTGAGCTGTATCAGAAACTTTTTCAAGTGAAGGGAGGGGTGTGTTTGTTGTGGCGTCCAATGTATGTGGAGACAAGTTACCATCTCCTAATGGAGGCATGAACGTAATGTTTTGGGAACAACTGGTCAGTCACCTTGTTCCAATTTTTGAGCTGTCTGGAGGCAGTTCCTGCAGTTGGGTCCTCCAAGAAACCTCTTGGGTTTAGGACAGTGCTGTGTCCTGCAGCTTGTGAACTAGTTGCTGGCTGTTCTGTGCTGGAGCTAGACAAGGGGACTATGTTTCCATTCTTTACTTTCTTCTTAGTTTTGGGTTTGTTTTTTTTACGGTTTTCTTGAGGACTTGTGCCTCATCGGCTGATCTGTGGGGCACTACTGAGTAGCTCTGTCCGGGACCTTGCTGTAAGTTTTCAGTGCTGGCAGAGGCCAGCTATGCGACATGCTAGCTCTGACTCCAAATGAAAGCAAAATCTTTCTAGCTAGAGTTACCCTGAGGACATGTCTCAGGTTGTTACAGTGGTCTAAGGTGAGTCTAACCACAGAAAGCTAGCTTGGACAGTGGTACTCAGAGGGCTTACAGATTAACAAGGAGATTGATTGCCTTTTTACTCTGATAAGAAACACTGGCGTTGATTTTATGTTTCTTTGAACACTTTTGTTGATGAAATATCGTAAGGCTCAGGGCTGATTAAATATTTACTGCTTCTCTGTTGAGTGTTGTACTTCTGCTGTGTACTAATGGGATACACAGGCTGAGAAACCTTTGGGTATGTATAGTGCAACCCAGTAAATCCAATAAAGGGAGCTTTGCTGTTGGGTAAAATCCTGCTTTTAGTAGTTGTGCAGAAGGTAGCAGTAGATTCTGAGATTTCATTAATGCTGTGTCAGGCTCTCCAATGGACTGTTGATCTGGGAAAGTGAGTGAAATAAACAGAGGGAGGCTGATGGGACTGGCAAGAATGTATTTTTAGAGGTGTAGTGCTCAGTGTGCTTTAAGTTATACATTACTCAGCTGTTGGGCCTGCGAGAGAAAAACTCAGTTGAAGCTCCCATGTGGTGTTGCTTATAACTTTCTCTAAATCTTTTCAGTTGAAAAGCGTGTGCTTGGTCTCTGCCTTAGTCAAAAGTTTTAATTCACACTGTGTTCTTTACGGTGGTGCTTTGAATCCTCGCTTCTTTGACCAGTTTAGAAATCATATTTTCTACAAATCTTGCAAAACTGGCAAAGTTGTGGTTTCCCCAGAGTTTAGGGATGTTGTGTGACTGCCCAAAGATGGCTTTTAATATGGAGCACCCCCAAAATGATCCCAAATTGTTGGAGAATAATGTTTCGGAAGTAGATATAGAGTGCTTTTGTTATCAACTCTTATTTTAGGATAGTGTTATGACATTGGTCTTAATATCTTCAGTAGAGGTGAACTCCAAAATATACTTAAAATGCTTTTATATAAATAGCAATCTCCAGTCAAAATTATTGACTCAGAGAGTCTGTATATAAGGGGAGGTATACTTGGTCACCTTGGAAATGTGCAAGTTTTTTTAAGATTTATAATTACAGTATCTTCACTAATAAAAAAACCCCAACCTTGCTGTTTTACAATAGAGTCTCATCCGTGTCCTCCGAAACCAGATCCTGCAAAGAGCTTGTCCAGTTCTCTCAACAATCTGACTCCTGCTAAGTTTACACCTGTCATTAATAATGGGTCCCCAACTATCCTGGGAAAAAGAAGTTACGAACAACACAATGGAATGGACGGTAAATATTTTTGAGCAAAGTATATGTTGTCTATATAGGCTTTTTCTTCTGTCCTTTCGGTATTCAAGGAGATTATTTAAAACTATAGTCCTTTATATAAATTCCAAGTTTCTTATTCTTGAGGGAGGTTAATTTTTTCCTTTTGTAAAAGTCACTTGTCCAGTTTCTCCGTCTGGGTGAGACACATGATGTGTGCTGCCTGGTGGTGCATGCACATAGCTGTTGTGCTAGTGGAACCCTGCCTAGGTTGACCAGCCTTGCAAATGGGATGGTGAAGAAGAAACTTCCCTTCAGTTTTTAAACGAGTACTATGAAGAAAACCTTAATAGCCTTTCCCAGTGATGTTTCTTTTTTCTTTTGAGGTTTACAGCTTTTTTAACCTGTAGGTTAAAATGAGATACACAGACTGAGAAACCTTTGGATATTGCAGCCAATTAAAGCCAATAAAGGGAGTTTTGCTGGTTTTAACCTGCAGATTAAAAAAGGGCTCTGCAGTTCCCACGTAGCTTTTTAACATGTGGATCACCTGGCTTTCAGCAAAGCTACCACAGGCTGCGTGCCGTTGAGAGAGGCAGGCTGCTGCTTAGCTGAGGGAGGCAGACATACCAGATCTGGCGTGGCATAAACCTGCTCCTGCCTTGCGCAGGACCAGAGCATTTGCTTTGGTTGGCCCTGTCACTGAGCACCTCTGTGCAGTGGAGTTTGGGCTTCATTTCCTCAAGAATAAAACTCAAGGGGAAGGTGTTTGAAGTGGGAGATAGACGCACTATGTTCCTGGCACGGACTCCAGGGCTCCATTCTGAAGAGTTGCTTTTGCCTTAGAGTGTCGGGGAAGAGAAAGTGCAGTCTTTTTCTCAGATGAAGATAAAAGGGTCTGCTCAAATGGTCTTAACAGGAGTGAGAAGATGGAGGGCAGCTCTCCTTAACAGCGGAAAGGAGCAGTTGCTTTAATGGTGACTTAGCAGGGAGGGAGATACAAAGAATCTTGTCTCATTTTTTACCTTTAATTTTAACTTTATATGTGGTTTATCTAAAATATAATTACAAACATTTGATATCTTATTGTTTGTGTTTTAACATTAAGAACTTTTAAAATTTGCTGCTGCTCAGGTTGCTGATGTGATGTTTTTCTCTTTTCTGTTCACTTGTGCTCTATCAGGCAACATGAAGAAGCGCCTGTTGATGCCTAGCAGGGGTAAGACCTTGAAGCTGTGCTCAGCTTATGCTAGGAGAGTGATTTTTAGTTTCATCTGCTGGCTTGTCTGTGCTTTGTGGCTATTGAGTCTGTGTGCACCTTCTGTGTTGATGTCTAAGTGTTCCTTGGGTAACCATTTCCACCCATGGTTATGCTGCTCACCTTCCAGGCTTTCCACATGCAGATGATAAGTCTTACAACCGTACGGAAGACATGAAGTGCTGTGTTCAGAATCTATTACTGATTCCTCAAATTGACAGAACAGTTTTCTAGTAGTTTTGTGAAACTGCTGAAAGCTGTGATGGTTGGTTTGAAACTAGGTGGTGTTTCACTGTTTGGCTTTTAAGAAATCAAAAGTTTCGTGCGTCCTGAACTACTTTAAATTCACATCAACCAAAAGAAATAGAAGACAATATTCACATCGCATACCAAGTTCAAGCCTCTATCCTTTCCCCTGTGAGTGGACAGTCTCACGGGTGAGAGACTGTGTGTTGTCTATTTGCAGTAGAAATGGTTTTCAAAATTTCCACAGGTTAAAAATTAATCTGTTCTGACTAGTGAAGAGACCTTGGAAGCTTTAGGTAGTGATAATGCAGAAAATGTACATGTGATGTCACTTAACCAAATTCAGTAGAACAGACCAATTTTGAATAGTTGGGATATACAAATGTCACTGAGAGACAGGTGAACACAAAAGCTTAAGCTTACGTGTTACCATGAAATGGCCCACGCTGCATGCCCTGATGTTAACCTTTGTGTTTAATGGCTGAGACGGTGGATGGCTGTTACCAATATTTGCGTGCATGCATATGTAAGTGCATGTGGAGAATACAGTAAGAATGAGGACAGTGATTGTTCTACTGTCTTGCTCTCTTTGGGAATTTATACCTTGATATTGTGTTGCTGAGTTTTAATGTGCTGTTTAACTTTTGTGTTTTGGGAAGAACAACAAAACCCTGCTGCGTTGGTCATTCTGGCTTCCTCGGAAGCTTTGCCCAGTAAGGAGGGATGTAGCTACAGAGTAGCTCACTGGATTTCCACAGCTCCTAGTGACAATCTGCTAATGGGCATGCCTGCTGCCCCCTGCTCAATGTCCTCATCAGCAAGGGGACTGCTGAGTCAGCAGATGACACACTTCTGAAGCCTTGAGGTGTGGCCCAAAGGAGGGAGGTGGAAGAAGAACTGACCCTTCTCTCAGGCTCTCTTTGTGTAGGCCACTGGATCTGATAACCTTGAGACCATTTGTGTGCTGGAAATGGAGGATTCTTGGTTCAGTGTTTTAAAATGTCTGTCTGCTGGTATTCATATTTGAGTAGATACATTTGAGTCATAACTGTTTCTGGAGCAGTTCGCAAAAGGAAGATTTTGGTGAAGTACCTGTTCAGGCCACTCAGAATCCATGTTTCTCTGAAGCATATGTGTGGAGTTGTGCAGGGCTGGCTCTCACCAAGCGCCTGCTGCTTTATCCGCTCGGTCTGTTCTCAGCCACACACTGAAATACTTGGAGTAGTATTTGCTCCTGTATCTGCTATGTAGCAGAGCACAAATCAGTCCCAGAATCTGCTTACCTGCTGGGGTAGTGAGTGTTAACTGGATATTCTTGTGAGCAGTTCACTTAAACTTTTTGGTTGAGATTTATTTGTGAATGGAAAATGTTTGTCATGCTGCAGTTTTGACATCTGGAATATTTTCTGCCCCTGGGTTGCTGGAAGCTTTGCAGAAACAGAGAGGGAAGGGAACCACCTGCAAGGAAACAAGGTTTAAAGAACTTTGATCAAGATCTACTGGTTACAGGGAAACAGATGGTGGAAGTTTGGTGGAGCTGTTTCTGGCCTGGAGCCAGTTTGTGTGTGGGTGCCACTTAGCACTGGTTCCCAGTTGCCTTGCACGTGAGCTGGTAAGCTTTGCTGGCTCTGGGCATGGCTAATGCGCGTTTCCTGTGCCATGCCAGAACTTCTCCTTGGCTCTGGGTGGAGTCACACAGACTTACTAGTTTGGGAGGTGCTGGTGAGAAAGGAGAGGAGGATGAGCACAAGTTGGAATCATTGTGAAGAAGGAGTGAATGGCAGCAAGAGTGATGAAGCCTTGTGACCAGAATTTCGGAGCCAGTGGGTTGGTATAAAAGGACTGAAATAAACCCATCTGTCCAGAATGACTGATTTTTTTTGTTATAATGCACCTAAAATAGAAGAAAACGATTAATGAAAGTAAAACCGAATTATAACCAGTTAGACTCTTCATTTACATAGCTCCTATATATATTATATAATTGCATATATATACTATAATAATTGCACAGGGGGCGTTGGTTGTTTTTATGTTTTTCTTCTCCCCTTAGTGGTACATGGTGGCACGCTGGCTGGTTTAGGTCTCTGGAGGAGTGTACTGCAAAGGAACACTGCTGTTAAGGCAACTCCATGGAGAGGCTGAAAATATTCTTTGTGCACAAATTTGGGTGCAGGACGACGCTTTGTCCATCTATGTTGACGTAGTTTTCAGGGAGGTGTTAACCTACTGCAGTGTTCTGTCAGTTATCCGGGGGTTTGGGGTTCCTGATGATGTGCTGTATTGGTGGCACCTGGAAGTTACCTTATGGTCTGGACAGGTCTCTGTGTCAAAGTCTCTGACATCGTGACAGTGAACAGCTATTATAATGGGCTTTAGCCAGAGTCTCTGGTGCTGAAGTCTTTTGGTGCTGGTATATTGCTTCCAGACTTATGGGAGAAGTGGTTATGCTGTAAATTAAGGCTGGTTGTTGAGCTAATTGCATGTGATGAGTTTGTAAAGCTTTCCTCATGGCCTGATCGTAATGCAGTATAAAATCAAGAGATCGCTTTTCAGGGAATGAGCCAAGTAGCAGCTTGTATTTCTGCTTCGTGTAAAGCACTGAGATCCATGTTGTGCCTGTGTATTGGTGGTCAGGTTTCTGAGGTATTTAAATTCCTGTGGGCACCTGCTGCCTTCATTTAGAATTAAGCTGTTTAACATCACTGAAAATTGAACTGTTCATGTAGGTTTTGGGGTGTTCCTTCACGCAGCACTGCTGGAAGATTTTCATCTGAGGCTCTACCATGCTGGGGGATTTAGGGCGATGGGTGGTCGGTAGTTAGAGTTCAGCCCTCAGAAAAGTTAATCAGTAAAGTGCCTTGATGAACTTGCTGTGTAAATGGAAACACCGTTCCTAAACGAGCTTAAATGATGACTGAGGGTGGAAGGGTCGGGAGTGGAAGACCACCTGGTCTATGGGTAGATGTGGGTTGGTCAGGTGAATTCTGTGTGAAGAGAGGTAGTAATGGGAAGTAAGGAAGGGCTGGGAAGAGGGGAACCTCAGCAGTGAGATCAAGGAGGAAATAAAAAGGAGACTTGCTGGTGGGCTGTGGCCAGAACTAGTTAAAACTAGTTATGGAAATGTTGGAAATTGCAGAACCTTATAAGAGTACTTCAGATTTTTCCTTTGGAATCTTGTTTTTTGCTTGTTTTTTCTCTTGCTACTGTTAACTCCAGCTGCATATCTTCAACTTTTCTTTTTCTTAATTATCCCAGTTTAACCCTGGAGAGCTGAACTTATTCAAGCTTTGAATATGAGTTGTCTGGCCAGGCACCTGTTTCGACTGGTGCTTGAATTCCAAGAACAAGAAATATTCTTAATCTCGTCTCTCTTCTCTCTCTGTCCACTCCATTTCATAAGAAGGATGTAGACCTTTCATCTGGTTTTTTTTTTTCCTCTTCTTTAAATTGCATTGGAGACATCATTAGGCATACGGTGGCCTTCCGAGCTCTTCTTCAGTGCTAGGTTAGCATGGACAAACTCCTCGAGATTCCTGGTTTTGGAGCATGAGAAGTACATGGAGTCTCATAAACTGTCAAGTACGGTGCGATGTTAAAAATGTATTAGTTTATTGCTTTTTCATAACTGCTCTGGAGCTTGGCTGACAATATTTACCATGAAACTTCTTCTAGAGAGACAGAGGATGTTTTATGTTCTGGACCTTGTTTACTTTTCTTCTTAGAGCTATCCAGTGTGGGGTCTGTGTGATACTTGTCTATGCAAATTTTTTACACCATGTTAGCTTTCATTTAATCAAATTTGGTTTTCAGGGTCATCACATGCACTCTAAACTTGGCAGAAAGAGAGAGAACATGAATGAGTAGCTGAAATAAAGGAAAGGCTTTTCCCAGCAGCAAACTTGCATTGATAAAATGGTAGCAGATCGAATGCTGAAAATTGGAGAGGGTTTATAGAAGAGCCATGAAAACAGTGAAGGGACTGGAAAACACACTGTATAATGGAAAATGCTTTTATCAAAGTGGAAGTTGTAGATGTTTGTCTCTGCTGACAGCAGCAGCAGAAGTGTAATAATAGAGGGCTTTTTAGTCTAGCTGGGAATGGAATAATGAGCTGCAGTAGCCAGAAGGTACAGCAGAAAAACTTTGGCTGGAAACAAACAGATTTTTTTGAGGGAGGTTAATTAACTATTGGAATACCTTGCTTCTGCTACTGGGGATTTCTAAACCGAAATGGAATGTCAACCTAATTTAACCTGTTCTGCTTCATTGTTTCTCATCTCCTTTTGGGGAAACGTAAATGAACTCCTGGAACCGGCAGCATTCATCCACCTAGCGTGGAATTAGTTTAATAATAAGAGATGAGCATGAAAGTGGAAATACTGTTCTTGATCAAAACCAGCTATTGAGGTGGGAATATAAGGAAGTTCTTTAGCATCAGCTGTGCAGGTGACCAGACTTATCTCAAAGATTTTTTTCTGGGCAACTTAGACATTGCAGAAAATCTGGACTTAGCTGTATGCATAAATTGCATTAAAATTCTGCCTTTGTCAGCAGTAGCCCCGATTGCCCTTCCAAACCAAAGGAAATCTGCCCGTCTGGGAATGCCTGTGAACAACAGGGAGCATTGGTCCTTTAATGAATAACGTGCTACATGGGGTACTGGGGAAAGTCCTGGCTTTAGCTGTTGACAGTGTAATGCTGCCTAGTGTCAA